TTGCCTCAGGAGTGGAAGCATGTGCTGTGTGTTCAGATTTGGTTTGGAAGAGTCATCTTCGTAACCCACTCCCTTCTCCCCTGCCTCCCTCCGTCAGTCTTTGGTGTCTGACTCCATTCAGAGCTGTTGTCATTCCCATGGAGGTAGCTCTGACCCAGTGACCTCGGGTTTGGCAGAACAAGACGTTGCCCGGCCCTGCGCCTTCTCCACGGTTGTTGGCACATGAGCGTCCTCGCTGTGGCCGCTCTGTCAGTCCATCTCACAGAGGGTTCCCCTTGTTTTTGCTGACCCTCTGTCATAGCAGTTGGTCTTTCCTGCTGACGTGTATCCAAAGTAAATGGGCCAAACTCTCGCCCTGCTCGCTCCTCAGGGGCGCGCTGGTTGTGTTTGTTCTGAGACGGGTTGGTTGTTCTTTCGGCCGTCAGCGCTGTAGTCGGTGTTCTTCGCCAGCGTCCCATTGGAGATGTGTTCATTTTCCTTCGGTCTTCTTTTTCCATTGTCCAGCTTTTACTTGCATGTGAGCCAATTGAGAAGACTGTGGCTTGAGTCAGGTCGCCTTACGATCAAAGGGACATCTTTGCTTTCCAGAACTTGAAGGAGGTTTTTTGCAGCAGATCTGCTCATTCAGTAGGAGGGTCTTCTAGCCCCAGTGCCTCTGTTTAGCTGAGAGCGGGACTTGGGGGCCTCTTTCACTCGCTGCTCCTGTGGCACCGGGTGCCGCATGCCCATGGTCTTGTGGCTCAGCCCCAGGGATTTGCAGACACTGTTTCCCCTCGTGCCTACCACAGGCTCCTTGGACAGCTGAGTCCAGTGAGCTCTGCCCTGTGGAGCCCGCCCTCTGCCGTCCATTCAGGCATGTGGGGCCCCACAGCAGGCCGGGGTGAGGGGCTTGGCATCTGGCATCTGTGCCTTGGTGTGTTTGCCCCACGGCAGTGCCACATTCTGTGTGGACAGGTGTTTGAGATCCTTCTAAGCCGCGGCTACTCTGAGAACACTTTCCGTGAAGACCTGAAGACCCTCTATCTGAAGCTCGGGATTGAGAACAAGAAGGTGATCTTCCTGTTCACAGATGCCCACGTGGCTGAGGAGGGCTTCCTGGAACTCATCAACAACATGCTGACTTCAGGTAGGGGAGGCTGCCGGCGTGCTGCCTTTCCCTGGCTTACAGACAAGACCCCTGTGGCCTTCACTTCACAACCAAAGAGGTTTACGTTTACTCGCAAGTGAGTCTTAGACCTCAAGGTTTCTGTCACAACCGTGGAGGCTGATGAAGAGGAACAGGGTGGGTGTGCAGGGCCCCGGCCATGCTCTGAGGAGAGGAGAGGGTAGGCTCCCTGGATGCCAGCCCTGCTCTAAGGAGAGGGACAGGGCATGCAGATGGGACCCTGGCCCTGTTCTGATGAAGAAGGAGAGGGCAGGCAGACGGGACCCTGGCCCTGCTCTAAGGAGAGGGACGGGGGAGGGCAGATGGGACCCTGGCCCTGTTCTGATGAAGAAGGAGAGGGCAGGCAGACGGGACCCTGGCCCTGCTCTAAGGAGAGGGACGGGGGGGCAGATGGGACCCAGCCCTCTTCCAGTGAAGGACACGGTGGGCAGGAACCCAGGCCCTGCTCTGATAGGGAGGGAGAGCACAGGCAGTGAGACCCTGGGCCTGCTCCCGTAAAGAGGGAAGCAGTGGGCGGGCGACAGCCCAGGCCTGCGGTCTCGGCTTCCCCTGCTCTTCCCACCACGTCACACTCCTGCTGTTTCTGTTGCTGCCTAGAGAGATGGTAACTCCACAGCGGGTTTCAACTCTCGTGTGTCTGTTGTCCAGGAATTGTGCCAGCACTTTTCCCGGAAGAGGAGAAGGAGTCCATCCTAGGTCAGATTGGGCAGGAAGCCTTGAAACAAGGAACGGGGCCGGCCAAGGAATCCGTGTGGCAGTACTTCGTGAACAAGAGTGCCAACAACCTGCACATTGTCCTCGGCATGTCGCCGGTTGGGGACACCCTGAGGACCCGGTGCAGAAACTTCCCAGGTACCCTCCGGCTGAGAATGCACACTCATTCTCCCAGCCAGCAGGGCATGTGCACTGGGGACTGTTGGGTACCTGCAGCTCCACCAGCGAAGTAACACACACGCGGTCATTGGGTGGGCCTCTGGGCTGCCTGCCCTCAGCCCTGCCCCTCACACGTGCGAGGGCTCTTGTGTGGCTGCGTGTGGCTGATCCTTCTGCACCAGGTCCACCGCGTAGGTCTCGGTCTCTGCTCTTTCATTCGGGAAGATTCTGTCAGTGTCATGGAAAGCGCAGGACCTCCCGTGGCCCCTGGGTTATCCTTTGGACCTAGAATTGGACTCACTCCCATGGACTAGCTGTCAATCAAATAATAGAAAGGCCTATGAGTGGAACACCTACCCCAGGGAGATGCATCCCTTAGAACAGGCAGCCGTGAGAGATCCGAAGGGCAGCGTTGGCATAGGGGGCAAGCTGGGCAGACGGGGAAGGGACGGTTACGGGGAGGACATGGGGGGAGAGCTGTGTGTTGTTGGGTTTGTAATTGGTGCTGAAATAAAATATGGATGAGCTGTTGAGAGTAAGATGATCTGCTTTGTAAATCTGCAGCCAAATCACAATAAGAATTGTTTTAAGAGTGCAGACCTGTCTTTAGAGAGGGTTCACACCCAGGGGCGATGTTGCTCTCCCAGGGGACACCGCAATGCCTGGAACCATTCTTGGTTGCACACCATGAGGGCTGATGCTGCTGCCATCCAGAGGGCGTGGGCCGGGTGCTGCTCGCCCCCCGGTCAACGCACAGGGCAGCTCCCGCCACAGAGAATGGTCTGGTTCCGGGTGTCAGTCGTGCTGAGGTCGAGCAGCTCTGCTTTCCACGGTTAAACGTGGCTGCACGCGGCTCGGTCACAGCGTGTCGGGTGCAGTCGGTCTGTTCTTGAGTGTCCCGGGCTGGCGAGCAGCCAGCTCTTCACCTGTCCGCTTCTTTTCAAGGTCTGGTCAATAACACCGGCATCGACTGGTTCATGCCCTGGCCGCCCCAAGCCCTGCACGCCGTCGCCAAGTCCTTCCTGGGTGAGTCAGAGCTGCTGCTGCGGCTACAGTCGGGTTAGCAACGCTGTCATCACGTCTCTGGCTTCGAATCCCGGGCTAGTGGGTTCTCATGCCCCGTGGCGGTGAGTGAGGTGAATGATTGGTCGTGGTGGTTGGTGTTAGTATGCTTTTAAGTTTATCCTGTGTATTTTTTAAATTAAGACTTTTTTTTCTTTTTAATGAATTCCTCATCTCTCTCCGTTGTTTCTTTTATTACCTGTTTCCTTCACTCACATTCATACGTGTCTACCCTCCCTTCCCCACCCACCCCTGGGGAACTATCAAAAGAAATTTTTTTCCCCTAAAAACCTTTCCTTGACTTTTGACAATAGTGATCTCACGCAGTATTTGTCCTTTTGTGATTGACTAAGTCACAGCATCACGTGCTCCAGGTTCATCTGCGCTATGGGGTGTTCCACAGATTTGCCATTGTTCTTTGCCGGTGTGTCGTATTGTGCTGTGTGTATATACCAGAGTCTGTCTGTCCATTTATGCTGTGATGGGCACTTCGGCTGTTTCCATCTTTTCGCTGTTGTGACTAAGGCTGCGATGAACACAGGCGTGCGTGTATCTGTTCATGTCACGGCTCTTACTTCTCTAGGCCACAGACCGAGTAGCGGGATCACTGGATCATCTGGTATTTCTGTTTCCAGCTTTCTAGGGAAGTGCCGCACTGTTTCCCGCAGTGGCTGCACCATTGTGCAGTCCCACCAGCAGTGTGCCGGGTTCCTGTCTCCGAACCCTCACAGCCCTTGTTGTTTTCTGTCTTGCTGAGCGTTGCCGTTAGTGCTGGGGTGAGATGACATCTCGTTGCTTTGATTTGCATCTCTCTCATGGCTAATGATTGGGAGCATTTCTTCATGTGTTTGTTGGCTGCCCGAATGCCTTCTTTGGTGAAGTGTCTATTCATGTCCTCTGCCCTTTTAAATCTGATTATCTCTTTTTGTTGTTGAGGTCTTGGAAGTTTTCTGTAAATTGTAGAGATTAGGCTTCTGTCCTGTATGTCAATGCAAAATTTTTTTCCCGGTCGGTGGGTTCTCTGCTCTTCTGGTGAAATCTTTTGATGCACCTGGTGTCTAATTTTTAGGAGTTTGCAGTCATCTATCTTATCTTCTGGTGTCTGTGCATTTTTAGGTATATTCAGTAGTGTATTTATGCCCTGCAGAGAGCTGCTAAGGTCGTCCCTGCTTTTCCTGTTACGGGCTCTATGATTTTCGACTTTACGTTCCGGTTTTTGACCCAGCTTTTGTTTTGTTGCTGGTGTCTGAACGTACCCATAGGGTTTCTGGCCATTTTCTCAGAAGCAGACGTGAGGACTCTCCGGGACTCCCCTGGGTGGACTGGCACCTCCGGCCTTTCATTTAGCAGCTGTGCGTGAACCGTTTGCACACACACCCAGGGAGTCCGAGTGTAATGTACGATTTTTACTGTACTCATTTTGATGTGTACATTCCAGGGTCCTTAATTCCATCCATTGTGCTGTGACGCCACCACCATTCCCTATTTCCAGAACATCTCATCCCCCAGACCCCGCCAGGGAAGGTGGATCTTCCCAACAGCAGGGAAACGGATGTGGCTTCCCGTGCTACCAAAGGACCTGCCGGCATGTCTGAAGCACTGGGCCCGGTTCTGCAGCCCAGAAAAGCCACCGGCTCGTGACAGCCACTCTTCTTCTTTCTTTAAGGGGCCCTCTTTCACCTCTTCTTCTCCAGGCGATAACCCGATGATTCCAGCAGAAAACATGGAGGAGCTGGTCAAGCATGTGGTTTTGGTGCACGAATCTGTGGGTGAATTCAGCAAGCAATTCCTCCAGAAACTCAGGCGCAGCAACCACGTCACTCCCAAGAACTACCTTGATTTCATTAACACGTACTCGAAATTACTGGACGAGAAGACTCAGTATAACATAGGTGAGGCTTGCAGACGGGTGGGCGGCCCGATGGCTTGATTACGCGATTACGGATCAGGGGCTTATCTCTCCTTAAGCAGATCTTCTCCAAAGACCAGGCGTACTCCAGAGTGAGGCAGGATCCTTGCTGAATTCTGGGTTTGGAAGGGTCATTCTTCTGTGTGCATAGGGCACTGGTGGGTTCTTACTTCGTATCTTTGCATTAGATTTTTTTTTTGTTGGCAGCCACGGGCTGTGTTGGAAGATGTTTTTAAATTGCGGTCTGTTTGGGGCTGTTGGCTGGAGTTGCTGGGGGCACAGTTAAATGCTCAGCTACTGACCACGAGGTTGACAGTTCAAATCCACCCAGGAGTGCGTTGGAGCAAGGGCCTGGTGTCTGCTCCTGAAGAATCACAGCTTTGAAAACCCCGTGCAGCCCAGTCCCCTCTGACGCACAGAACCGACTCAGTGGCAGCGGGTTGGTTTGTTTCTTGGGGGCTGCTGGCCCGGTGAAGTGCCGTTTTCAGAAGACTCCTCATGTTACCAGTGCACCCATTTTTAGAGGTCCCGAAATGCACATGACATCCTGTAGGAAACAGCGTTGTTCCTTGTTACCTCGGTGAGCACAAGTTGGACCATCCTAGTGCCCGCCTCTGTGTCCCGTGCTGATGACGCCGGGTGTTGTGTTTCCTCAGCCCAGTGCAAGCGCCTGGAGGGCGGGCTGGACAAGCTGAAGGAGGCCACTGTGCAGCTGGACGAGCTGAACCAGAAGCTGGCTGAGCAGAAGATCGTGCTGGCGGAGAAGTCTGCTGCCTGTGAGGCCCTGCTGCAGGAGATTGCCACCAACACGGCCATCGGCAAGTGCAGGGCCAGCTCGGGGTGGTCAGCCCTGTAGGACTGGCACCCCGACGAGGCCCAAGAGTCTGTTCAGCATGTGCCTGCCATGAACTGAGCCCCAGTCTAGGCATCGGGAGGACCTAGCCTTTCGGCACGGGCCACCCGGGGGAAGCCTGAGAGAGCATTCAGCACATGCCCACTGAATGCCTGCTGTGAGTGGAGCCCCAGTCCAGGTGCTGGGGACTCAGCCCTTGGGGGAGGAGGTGTCCCAGTCTAGAGAGGGGACTCACAATAGCAAGCAGGTCCACAGCACAAGGGCATCTCTGGCTGGGACCAGTGTCATGCAGGGAGTCAGCAGAGTGAAGAGGTGGGGGGCTGGGGTGGGTGGGCCACCTTAGAGGGGTGGCTGCTGAGTGAATAGCAGAGAAGGTCATGCGGGGGCAGAGGGGGGTCTTAGTGACCCAGGAACATGGCAAGGGCAGCCTGGGCTCAGGGTGGGGGCTGCTGCCACATCCACGTGTCCGGCCGTGGAGTGGAGTGAGTGGCACGCAGGTAGGGCAGGAACGGAGGGTCAGAGTCAGAGTGTCTGCCCCAGAGGCCCCGGCCTGGAGGAGGTCTCTTCTCCACGAGTGGTAGCAGGCTGCCACTGCCCACACCCTCCATCCTGGCAGGGCTTGACCTCTCTCCACTTCTGGCCTCCAAACCCCCTGCGGGGATTTGAGGCCCTGTGAGTCTCCAGCACCTGCCCTGACCACCCCTCCTCCTGCAGCGGAGGAGAAGAAGAAGCTGGCCGAGGACAAGGCCATTGAGATTGAGGAGCAGAACAAGGTCATCGCGGTGGAGAAGGCTGAGGCCGAGACGGCGCTGGCCGAGGTCATGCCCATCCTGGAGGCAGCCAAGTTGGAGCTGCAGAAGCTGGACAAGTCCGACGTGACGGAGATTAGGTAACCGACGACCTCGCCAGTCACGGCCCGCCGCCCGCTGGGCTCCGGGCTGTGATCACGATGGTGGTGACGGTGAGGCGCCCACACCAAGCTCCGGGCACCGTGCTAGGCGCCTTCCAGGTGGGAGCTCATGTCCTCCCTCCTTAAGCCGTGTGTGGTGCAGGCTGTTACTGTCCTCATTTACCCATGAGGACAGGGAGGTGTCTTGCCCAAAGCCCCACGAGGCCAGGAGGTGGCAGAGCCCGACCTTGGGACCAGGCTGACTCTTCAAGACCGCTGGGCTCCAGAACAAGGTGGTACGAGAGAGCAGGGTGCTGTAATCCATCCCCCTTGCGGGTAGCCTGACACAGCGCCTGCTGTCCCCGTGGGTGGCACAGCTCCCTTCCAAAAACGGCCCGACCCTGTCGCCCAACCCGTCTCAGCCACCAGTGCTTGTGAGGCAGGGAGAGTGGGGCGTCATCGTCGCCCCCAGACAGTTTGCAAGTAAATCTACAAAATGGCACCTCACCACCCGAGAGCACTGGCCTGCTGTCCGCACGCCTGGTGTGGGATGCGGGGTGCACATCCTCCCTGACAGCCCGGTCTCCCCATTTCGATGGTACAGTTTGCACTGGGAGTGAAGCCCCAGGAGAGCTGGCTGTCCCCGTGCCGTCAGGAGGCTCAGTGCTGTCCTTCCTCACTCTCCGAGTGCTTTGGCCTCCTGGCCCCACGGCCATTTCTTTTCACAGCTGGCAGATGCCCGTCTCCCCGCCAGAGGGGTCCGTTCAGTTTGTGTCCCTGAGGGAACGCGGCTTACTGTCACTGCCTGTCTCCTTTCCGAGGCCCTGCAGCAGCCTGCCCAAGGCCGGCCTTGTTTCCTTATCACTGAATCGTTGGTGGGTTTGAATAGAACACTCCGTTTATTCCACAGCGGGGGTCCCGATTGAGTCTTGGGAGGTCTGGAGACTCCACTGTTGTCAGCAAGAAGTGATGATTTCCCGAGTCGGTATTTGCAGTGTGTGGTACCGAAGAGGCCCCAGGTTGCAGGGACCCCACGCCCTGTGCCGTCCTCAGGAGCAGCCGAGGGTCGGACCGCTGTGATGCAAGGTTGCCGTTGCCTGTTTCACGGGGCCTGATCAGCATCACGGCAACACGCGTGCTTCCACTGACAGATGTGTGGGGCCCACGAGGTGCCCCGGTCAGGACTCAGGCCCACGGAACCCCACCGCCCCCAAAGAGGGTATCGGGACGGACATTTTAGATCTCAGCATTTGTGTTGGAACTTCAGGCTGAGGTGCCGAAACGGACAAAACAGAAACATACCAAGTGGAGTTGTGGGAGAGATGACTGGCACCCATTTTCAAGGGAAGTATCCCCGCCCCAGTCAGTGTCGGGCCACTGCCCACACGGGCAGCAGAAGAGCGTCGGGGAAGCAGAGCTCGCAAGGCATTTTGAAGGGGCTTTATTTGGAAAGAAGGGCACTGAGTCCCGTCATCAAGGGGGAGGGTTCTGCCTCCTACCTCCAGCTGCTGAGGGACTTCAATGAGCCACGTGGAGAGCTTGACATGTGTCCCCTTCAATTAAGGTACCTGATTCTTCCTGAAAAAGCTATATGGCCTAAGACCGAACCAAACCAAATCTACTGCCGTGGAGTCCATTCTGACCCACAGCGCCTCTAGAGGACAGAGTGGAACTGCCCACAGGGTCTCCAAGGCTGTCA